TTTATTCTTTTTGTTGCAATGGTGAATGGTATTGTTTCCTTAATTTCTCTTTCTGTTTTCTCATTGTTAGTGTATAGGAATGCAAGGGATTTCTGTGTGTTAATTTTATATCCTGCAACTTTACTATATTCACTGATTAGCTCTAGTAATTTTCTGGTAGAGTCTTTAGGGTTTTCTATGTAGAGGATCATGTCGTCTGCAAACAGAATCTGCTGACTGAGGCTAGTGACTATACACGTGACTGAGAGACCTTGAATGGATCAAACTTTTGACATTTTTTTATCTGAAGATGAGTCTGACTTATTGTTTCAAATATGATTTTTCTTATAAACATCACATGAGTTTTCTCAGCAATAATTAAGTTGGATATTTGGACTGAATAACTGGTCTACTATTAGGGGTGTATTTTTTATGTTCAAATTGTTTTTATTGATTGTAGTCACCATATTCATTCTCTCTGTATGTATATTTCAATAGTAACCAAAATAATTACTCTTTCCCCTTAAATCATCAAAGAATAAGAATGCTCTCTTACATAATCTGGCTGGCTTCCCTCGTAGCTCAGATGGTAAAGAATCTTCCAGCATTGTGGGAGACTCAGGTTTGATCTCTGGGTCAGGAAGGTCCCCTGGAGAAGGAAATGGTAACCCACTCCAGTATTCTTGCCTGGAAAACCCCATGGACAGAGGAGCCTGGTGGGCTACAGTCCATTGGGTGGCAAAGAGTCAGACACGACTGAGCAACTAACACACACACTTACATAACCACCTATAATTATCACATTTGGGAAATTTAACATCAATACAATATTATTATTCAATCGTGTGTGCTCGATTGCTCTCTGCAACCCCATTGACAGTAACCCACCAGGCTCCTCTGTCCATGTAACTTTCCAGGCAAGAGTACTAATGTGGATTGCCATTTCCTCCTCCAGGATATCTTCCCCATCCAGGAATAGAACCCACAAATCCTGAGACTCCTGCATTGGTAGGTGGATTCTGCCACCTGGAAAGCCATTTCAACCTACAATCCTTCTTTAAATTTACCTAATTGTCCTTAACTATTTTTCTCCCTCTGGAATCCTCACTGACCCTAGGGACTGTAGCCCATGAGGCTCCTCTGCCCGGGGGATTTCCTAGATGAGAATATAGGAGTGGGTTGCCATTTCCTCCTCCAAGGGATCTTCCCCACCCAGGAACTGAATCCACATCTTCTGAGTCTCCAAGTTGCTTTGGTCTCCTTTAATCTATGTCAGTACCCTAGCCTGTGTGCATGTGTATGTGTGTGATTTCATGACAACAACATTTTTGAATGGCCCCATCTAGTAACATTTGTCAGATTATCTCTTCACGACCAGATTTGGCTTAAACATTTTTAGCAGAGAGTATATATGAACTCAGTGAGTGTGTCACATTGGCAGGAACATGACATTGGATTGTCTGATTATGGGAGATGTTAAATGTTATAATTTAGATAGTATCCATCAGATTTCTCCATTATAAATATTTCTTTTCCATTGTAATTACTTAGTAACTTGACACTGTGTGAATATATGGTTCCCCAAAAGTTTGTCACTCGGTGCTTTTAGCATCCATTATTAGTTATTGCCTGAATTGATTATTACCATGGTGGTCACAAAATGGTGCTTTTCTTTTTCCATCATTCTTTTTAAATCTGCTAACTGACACTGTTTTGTTAAAGAAGACCTTTCCTCTTCTCTCCACACCCACAACTTTTTAAAGTGTAAATATGGACTCATAAATGTGTTTTTATTCAATATGATACAATTGATCCTCGTCACTATTTTTTAGTCATCAAACTATCCCAAGTTCAGCCAGTAGGAGCCCCTTCAAGTTGCCTTCTGTGTCCTTTTTGCATACCTCTTCTGTTTTTATGCACTTCTCTACAGAAGAAGTTCCAAGTTCCCTTTGTACTTTCCTGTCCCTATCTTGACATCAGTCATTTCTCACAGAAACCCTGGCTCCATTTTATGGGGAATGGTATTTAGTAGGGCTCAATTTCTGTGACCAAAGTGGGTTACATTTCTTAATTATAATTTTGTTTTTTCAACATTAGATTTTAGTTCTGTGTTGAAATAATACATCCCCGTAAAAACTAAAATATGGAACGTAATAGTCATTTACATGTCAGGGTGAAAGTATTTATCAGCTTGTATATTTTATAAGAGATCGGAAGCAGAGAGAATGAGGACACTGGACAATGTGAAGGGAGGGGGTTGAGGGTGGTGGAGAGGTGAAACAGGTTCATGGATGGAAAGAAAGCTAATATCAATTACTTCTATTCTGGGAACATTTGTGTAAACTATTTAAATTAATCCTTACAACAATCCTTATTTTTACAAAAGAGGAAGTAACTTCTTCAAAGTTGTAATATGTATAGCAGATAGTCTAGAACTGAAACCCTTTTTGTTTGGCCAGAAAAGCCTCATCTGTGCCTTCTATTACCCTAAGTTGTTCCCCAAGGCAAGCAAGGAGGTTGATGAGCTAAAAACACAACTTTCGCCTACTTCAGGTTTGAAACAGAGTAAACTTGCTCAAGCTGCTTACCCTGTTTCACTAGAAGTTGTTCACTGTGACTTGCATGCATAGCCACCCTCACAAATACTGTCCTTCAGTTGAGAATAAGGTTCAAACATTTTTCCAGTGCTCAGGAAGTTTGTAGGGAAACAATTTGATTTCATTTGCTTTCACTGTTGATTCAAAAAGAACAGATAGGCATCTCAAATTGAGTGTTTCTCAGTTGGATTATTTATTACAAGTCCTGCCTGTTGCCAGAGTTTGTCTAGTGCTCGGAAAGCTTGTTGAAGGCTTGTAAGACATAACTGAGGCAAGTTACCTGAAAAACAAGGTTGGGAACAAAGACCATAAGAACATGTTCGTTTCCCCTTCTTATTAATACATTGGTCAACTCCCGAATTCTCTTGGTTCTCAGTTCTCTTCACTGTAAATGGGGATAATAGCTTCCCTGCCTGAAGAAAGGAGGCAGGATATCTAGGACATCAATAACCATGCATTAGGTAACTTCTATTCAGTTCCGCTCAGTTCAGTCTCTCAGTCGTGTCCGGCCCTTTGCAACCCCATCAACAGCACCAGGCTTGCCTGTCCATCGCCAACTTCTGGATCTTGTTCAAACTCATGTCCATTGAGTCAGTGATGCCATCCAACCATTTCATCCTAGTTGTCCCCTTCTCCTGCCTTCAGTCTTTCCCAGCATCAGGGTCTTTTCCAATGAGTCAGTTCTTCACATCAGGTGGCCAAATTATTGGAGCTCCAGCTTCAGCATCAGTCCTTCTAATGACTATTCAGAACTGATTCCCTTTAGGATTGACTGATTTGATCTCCTTGCTGTCCAAGGGGCTCTCAAGAGTCTTCTCCAACACCACAGTTCAAAAGCATCAATTCGTTGGCGCTCAGCTTTTTTTATGGTCGAGCTCTCACATCCATACATGACTACTGGAAAAACCATAGCTTTGACTAGGCAGACCTTTGTTGCAAAATAATGTTTCTGCTCTATAATATGCTGTCTAGATTTGTTATAACTTTTCTTCCAAGGAGCAAGCGTCTGAATTTCATGGCTGCAGTCACCATCTGCAGTGATTTTGGAGCTCAAGAAAATAAAGTCTGTCACTGTTTCCACTATTTCCCCATCTATTTGTCATTAAGTGATGGAATTGGATGCCATGATCTTAATTTTTTGAATGTTGGTTTTTAAGCCAGATTTTTCACTCTGCTCTTCCACTTTTATCAAGAGGCTCTTTATTTCCTCTTCACTTTCTGCACTAAACGTGGTGTCATCTGCATATCTGAAGTTATTGATATTTCTCCTGGCAGTCTTGATTCCAGCTCATGCTTCATCCAGTCTGGCATTTTGCATGATGTACTCTGCATATAAGTTAAGTAAGCAGGATGACAATATACAGCCTTGACATACTCCTTTCCCAATTTGGAACCAGTCCGTTGTTCCATGTCAGGTTCTAACTGTTGCTTCTTGACCTGCATACAGATTTCTCAGAAGGCAGGTCAGATGGTCTGTTTGGTATTCCCCTCTCTTTAAGAATTTTCCACAGTTTGTTGTCATCCACACAGTCAAAGGCTTCAGCATAGGCAATGAAGCCTAAGTAGATATTTTTCTGGAATTCAATTGTTTTTTCTATGATCCAATGGATGTTGGCAATTTGATCTCTGAACATTTCATTTGACACTGAAAATGTGGAGAACTATAAGGCAGAGTATCTACTCTTACTATGCTGGCCATCTAGTTGGGGATGGTGAACTTACATATGAAAAAGAGCAAATACATTTTGTAACACACCATATGAGTGTCAAAGACAAGGGAAATGATTAATTACTAAGGACATTATTAGTGTACCAATTTAAAATAATAATAAAACACAACTTTCTTTTGTTTCAACCAATGTTTTAGAAATGAAGTAAGAAACAAGGAATGAAGAGACAAAGGGAAATGCAACAAATGAAAAGGGAAGGGAGAAAGGAAAGGGAAAAAGAAAAAACAGGGTGAGCAATAATGATAACTACATAGGTAAAAAAGTCAATGTTAATGTATTTTTACTTTGTAACTCCTTGTTTTTCCTATAAAATAATCTACGTTGATGGGAACACAATGCATAAAAGGTAACATAACAATAACATAAAGGGAGAATCAAATTGTATAGGAGCAAACATTTTCTACATAGCTGAAGCTTAATTGACACTAATTCAAACTAGATTGTATGAATCAAAATGCTACTTGCAATCTCTAGGGCAACCACTAATAACTTAAAAATGTGTAGAGAAAAAGAGAATGGAATCAAAATGGTATACTAAAAAATACATATTGAACATGAAAGAAGGCAGTCATTGAGTTGAGGAACAAGAAAAGATATAAGACATGTAGAGAATCTATGCAAAATAGAAATCCTCCCTTATCTGTAATTACATTGAAGGAAAATGAAATTAAAACCAATCAAAAGGCAAAAAAAGGGCAGAATAGTTTCTAAAATCATGATCCAATCATATGCTATCTATAAGAGATGACCTTACATTCAAAGGTAAGCTAGGTTGAAAATTTAGAGATACGAAAAAAATATTCCATGCAAACACTAATCAAAACACAACTGGATTATCTATATTAATATCAGACAAATAGAGTTTAAGAAAAATTATTATAAAAGATAAAAGGCTATTACATAGTGATAAAAAGACCAATCCATCAAGAAGACATATTAAGTATAAACACATAAACCAAGCCACAAAATATATAAAGTGAAAACTAACAATTAAAATGCCAAACAGTAATAGTAGAACACATATATACCCCCACTTTCAATGATGGATGGAACAACTACACAGAAATCAGTAAGGAAACAGAAGACTTGAACAACATTATAAGCCAACTAGAGCTAAGAGACATATATAGAACAGAACACCCAACAACAGCAGAATAAACTTTCTTGTCAGGAGCATGTGGAACATTCTCCAGGAAAGACCATATATTAGGCCACAAAATACATTTCAATACATTTAAAAAGACCAAAACCATACAAAACATGTTTTCTGACCACAATGGAATAAAATGAGAAATTAGTGTAAAAGTCCTAAAAGGAAACACAGAAGAAAAAAAAAGAAAGAAAGAAAACACAGAAGAAACATTCATGACATTGGGTTTGGCAATGATTCTTACATAACACGCCAAAAGCACAAGCAACAAAAGCAAAAATACAGATGCAATCACACTAAAAATCTTCTGCACGGTGAAGGAAACAGAGTGAAAAGATAGAATATAGAGATGGAAAAATATTTTAAAATCATATATCTGATAAGAGGTTAGTATCCAAAATACACAAGGAACTCCTACAACTCAACAACGCCCCCCCCCCAAATAAATAAGATTGAAAAATGGGCAAGGAACTTGAATTAACATTTCTCCAAAGATAGGCAACTGGTTAATAGGCATATGAAAAGATGCTCAGCATTATTAATCACCAGGGAAATGCAAATCAAAGTCACAATTAAATATCACTCACACCTGTTAGGATAGCTATTACAAATATATTTCAAAGGTAATGAGTGTTGGTAAGGAGGTGGAGAAATTGGAACTCTTGTACACTTTGGTAGACATAAGATATATAAAAGGGTGAGCCTGTATGGAAAACAGTATAGTTTCTTTAAAAAATTAAAATTAGACTTACCAGGGGATCATATATCAAAATAAATTGGATTCATAATCTCCACAAGATATATGCATTCCAAAGTTCTTTGCATTATTGACAATAACCAAGATATAGAAATAACCTAAATATCCAACAAATGATGAAAGAAAGTGTGATGTATACACACAATGGAATATTGTTCAACCTTAAAAAAGAAGGAAATCCTGCCATATGTGACAATATAGATAAACCTGGAGGACATTGTGCTAAGTGAAATAATCCAGTCACAGGGAATAAATACTGCCTGATTTCAGTTAAATGAGGTATTTAAAACTGCCAACCTAATAGAAACAGAGAATATAGAGATGGTGGCCAGGGGCTGGAGGGAGGGGAAAATGGGATGGTGCTGTTGAACAGGTATAAAGTTTCAGTGTTGCCACCTGAAAAAATTCTAGAGATCTGCTGTTCAACACTCTGCCTATAGTTAACCTATAACAATACTATATTGTGCACTTAAAGGTTATTAACAGAGTAGATACATTTAGTGTTCTTTAAAACACAAAAAGTCCTTCTTAAAAGATAGATAGAAGAAAAAGAAAGGTGCCAAGGAAGGAAGGGAATAAGGGAGGAAGATAACAAACAGGAGAACTGTCAAATTCACAAATATATGGAAATTAAACACACTAACCAATGGGTCAAAAGTGAAATCACAAGAAATTAGAAGATACTGTGAGGTGAATGAAAAAGAAAACATAACACACCAAAACTTATGGGATGCAGCTAAAGCAGCTCGTAGTGTTGTAGCCATGCACTCCGGGAAAGAAACTCAATCAGAAGGACAATGCAGATAGTGGGGTGCAGTTTGTTACACTTATGGGCCCAACACAGAGTTTCCTCTTAGCCAAGGACCCCGACCAGTTTTTTGTGAAAATTTATATACCCTAAGTGTCTGTGCACAAACCCCCTCCCCAAATTTCCTGAAACTAGTCTGGACAAAGGAAAAAGAAAGATACAACCAAAGTTAACCTGTGATTCATATGCCTTAAGCCTACGTAGTTAACAGTGGACAATTATCAATAGGCCTGTGGTCATACCCCAATAAGCATAATAGAATGTATGATTCTATTCAGTTACACAGATAATTAGGGTATTCTTTTCAGCAAGGGAGAGTTTAGGTACGAGCCCTGGGCTCTTCCTTTTCCAGTTGGTATGTCGTTTCCATAGATACTGGGCATATAGCTCAAAGTCCAGAGTCTGGCCCAAGATGAAGTCCTGCTTTCAAGATAGAGCCTGTTCTGTTTTCTCTTTTAGTAGAGGAAAATTTGTGGTTTTAAAATGCTTACATTAAAAAAAAAAAGATAAACTTATTATCAATAATCTAAACTTCCTAAGAAACTAGTAAAAAAAAAAAAAAAAAAATCCAAACAAACTGTCAGGAATCCTCTGGCCCTTATTAATTCCTGAATATTCAGGAATTAAGAGGAGAGGTACGCCTTTCCCAGGGCTGAGGAATCCAGGCATTTCCTTTGTTAATTTCTCATTATGGTGATAAGTACCCTCTTCTCTCTTTAAGGGATCGCCTTGTGTTTTGTAAGTCTGGAATTTTAATCTTTATCTTTGCTAATAATAACTACGTTATATATGTCCATGCCATGTTGATTAAAACACCTTTGCTCCATCAGAGCTTTGGTCCCCGTGTTTTTCTTTCTTTCTCTTCCTCTCTTTCTCTTTACCTTTCTATTTCTGGGTGATTCCCTGGAGTGGGAAAGCCGGCTTCGTAACCCAGGGAATATTAGCCTCTTTCCTTCTTTCACTTTCTCATCGTCGACTCCGGACCACCAGGTTCTGGTCCATTAAAGGACCAACACCAAACTAAATCCAAAGCAAATAGAAAGAAAGAATGAAAATTTGAGTAGAGATAACTGAAATAGAAAAAAAAAAAAAGATTCTATTTAAGATCAAAAAGAATAAAATACTTAGTAAACTAAGGAGGTATGATTCATATATTAAAGACAAGACAACAAAATATTGCTCAAAGAAATTGAAGAAGACCTAAATAAATGGAAGGGCATCCCACATTCATAGATTGGAAGACCTAATATAGTTAAGAGGCAATATTCCTTTCTGGTTCAGATGGTAAAGAATCCGCCTGCAATGCAGGGGACCTAAGTTCAATCCCTGGGTTGGGAAGATCCTCTGGAGAAGGGAATGGCTACCCACTCCAGTATTCTTGCCTGGAGCATTCAATGGAGAGAGGATCCTGGAAGGTTACAGTCCATGGGGTTGCAAAGCGTTGGACATGACTGAGCAACTAACATTCACATTCCTCAAGTTGATGTACAGATTCAGTGTAATCTCTATCAAAATTCCAGTTGCCTTTTTGAAGAATGGACAAGCTGATTATAAAAGTCACATGTAATTGCAAAGGATGCCAAATATCCAAAATCTTGAAAAAGGACAAAATTCTTCATATTTCTCTATTTCAAAACGTACTACTAAGCTACAGTAACCAAAACACTGTTGTGCTGACGTAAGGACTGACATACAGATCAACGGAATATAATTCAGAATCCAGAAGTAAACCCAGATATCTATAACATACCAAGAACATTCAATGGGAGAAAGAATAGTCTTTTCAAAATACAGTGCTGGGACTGAAGGAGGAAACAGACAGAACAGGCTCCATCTTGACAGCAGGAATCCATCGTGGGCCAGACTGTGGACTTTGAGCTACATGCCCAGTACCTATGGAAATGACATACCAACTGGAAAACCAGGCCCCCGGAAGGAAGAGCCCCAGGGCTCGTACCTAGACTCTCCATCGCCTAAAAGAATACCCTAATTATCTGTGTAACCAAGTAGAATCATACATTCTATTATGCTTATTGGGGTATGACCACAGGCCTATTGATAATTGTCCACTGTTAACTACCTAGGCTTAAGGCATGTGGATCATGGGTTACTTTTGATTGTATCTTTCTTTTCCTTTGTTCAGACTAGTTTTAGAGAATTTGGGGAGGTAGGTTTGAGCACATACACTTAGAGTATATAGTGAAAGTGAAGTCGCTCAGTCTTGTCCGACTCTTAGCGACCCCATGGACTGCAGCCTACCAGGCCCCTCCGTCTATGGGATTTTCCAGGCAAGAGTACTGGAGTGGGTTGCCATTGCCTTCTCCGAGGGTATATAAGGTTTTCACAAAAACTGGTCGGGGCCCTTGACTAAGAGGAGACTCTGCATTGGACCCGCTGGTGTAACAAACTGCACTCCACTATCTGCACTGTCCTTCTGAGTGAGTTTGTTTCCGGGAACACGTGGCTACAACAGGACCATTGTATATCCACACAAAAGAATGAACTAAGATATCTACTTCTACCATATAAAAAAATATAATTCAAAATTAATCAAAAGACCTAAATGTAAATGCTAAATTTCTACAACTCTAGGAAAGAAACATAGATGTAAATCTTCATGACTTTGGATTAGGCAATAGTTTCTTAAACATGATACCTAAAGCACAAGCAAAAAAAGGAAAACAGTAGATAATTTGGACTTTATAAAAATTTAAAACAGCATTTTTGTTCATCAAAGGACACTATCCTTTAAATAAAGACCACAGTAAGAGAGAAAATATTTGCATATCATCTATTTGTTAAGAGACTTGTATGCAGAATATATAAATAACTTGCCACACAACAACAAAAAGATCAAACAATCCAATTTAAAAATGGACAAATGATCTGAATAGACATTTTTTCTAAAAAAGAAATTTTAATGGTCAACAAGCCCATATAAAGTTGCTCGAAATCATCAGTCAGTAGGAAAACACAAATGAAAATCACAATGAGATGCCACTTTACTCCTACTGGGATTGCTGCAAGCAAAACCAAGCCAAAACAAAACAGAAAATAACAAGCATCAATGAGGTGTGAAGAAATTAAAACACTCATACATTGCTGATAATAATGTAAAATGGTACATCCACAAATGCAGCTTACTCGTTCCTCAAAAAGTTAATTGTCCCATTAGCATCTGACCTAGCAATTCCACTCCTAGGTATATATCCTGCAGAAGAATTGAAAACAGGTGTTTAAATAAAAACTTGTATGTGAATGTTGAAACCAACACTATTCACAATAGGCAAAAGGTAGTAATGACCCAGTGTCTACCAACAGACGAATGGTTACACAAAACACGGTATTTGTGTACAATGAAGTGTTATTCAGCCATAAAAAGAAATGAAGTACCAATTCTCGTTAATATTTGGATGAACCTTGAAAACAAGCTAAGTGAAAGTGTTAGGGGAAGCACACTGATTGAAACCACCCACCCTGGCCAGGCACCATAGTAACCACTTGCATGAGTTGTTTTATGATAGGAGATTCTGATAAGG